CCCCCCTCCTTTTGATGTACTGTGGTGCCATATGAGGTCTCTGCTGTTCCTTAAGAGCAGCCCCAGATACTCTGGTTTGTCAGTGATGCCTCTGTACGCAGTGTCACAGCAGCCCCTGATTCTGTACTAGGTGAGTTGTAGGGTTTAAGTGTTAGAGGGGCAGAGGGTCCTGTTCTGTGCTAGATCAACACTGTCATTCCAATATGCGAAAAAATTTGTCTGTGTAATGTTCAGTCCTGTTTAGTTTGAGCCTCAGACTGTTCCTTTATCCATGCACAGCAGGACGCTGATCTAGAAGAAGAATGAAGTAGGTGGACATTTTTTTCTGAAGGCTGAATCTTGCAGTCGGGTGGTGCTTTGACTCCATGGGTGTTGTGATGACTTGTTCAGGCGCCTCCCAACTTTCACTTGGGAAGAAAGTGGGTTTTTGTGACCAATAATTATTACCATTCTTTTCCCATCTCATATTAAACAAACTTGAAGCTATTTTTGAGCATGTTTTTATCTTTCAGATGTGACTTCTCAACGGCAAAGCACTGATGTTTTAATGTTGCCTCGTACAATCCCTAACGCGCATCTCTTTTTTTCAATTGCTGAAATGTCTTTCTTCTCCCTAGCTAACGAACATGCAAAGAAATTTCTTTTAAATTTCCCTTTCAAACTGGGAGCTGAACCCTAAAATTACAGTGGTTGAACGTAGGAGGTGAATCCAAGTCCATACGTTTGCTTCCAGTGTTCCCCAGTCCCAAATGAAATAAGCGTTTTTTTGGAATAGATGCTTTCAGTGATAAAGATGCACTTGTCGTAACAACAGTCAGCATTACCTGCCTGCTACGGTACCACATAGCTTTAATTTTCCGGTATGTGCACCTGAGTGGGTCGGAGTCGATGCCAGCAGAGGTGGCCGTGCTGTGCCACACCCTGCCTGTTGGGCTGAGGGTGCCTGGGAGGCTGTGAGAGAATGAGACACTGCTTTTTACCTTCCTCTGGAAAATCGTTTTAGCCAGCGCTGCATTTGCAGGCTTCTCCTGTGTAGTTGGTTTGTGACTGGACTTAACTGTGGCAGTGTATAAAAGATTTTGATATTCTGTGAAATACCATGTAGAATTTAAATTTGATACTATAATAATTGAGTCCCTGTGACACTGGTTTTTTGTTTTAACTTCTTTGGGGTTGGCACTAATCTATCTTTTTTTTTTTTTTCCAAGATGCTGGGAGAAACATTTCATCCAAATGCCAAATAAATTGTGTTCTGTAAGAGAAATGTCCTGTTCCAGTGTCTCCTGATTTCTGCGTCAATGTGGTTCCCCAGCGTTGCGAAGGAAGGTTTTGTTAAATCACACTTCTGAGCTGTGATCTTGCAGAAGATCAATAGATGCATTTAACATGGAGCAGGGAGGCTGCCAAAGTCCCTGTTATGCGAATTCCAGTGGGATTTACCTGTATTAGTGTAATTTTAGGAAGGTCTTGGGGTTATACCCAAGAAGGTGAAGTGCAGTATATTCCTGCTGCCCTCCCCAAGCCCGGGGGAAGGTGCTGAGTGCCGGGGCAGGAGGTTGTGCTGGATGGAGGGGGTGGTCTGGACCCCCAGCTCCCTGTTTTCCACGAGCCGCTGGGCACGCAGTGATTGCTGTGAGCGCTGTGGAACAAGTCCCCGCAGCGCTGCGGGGCCGTCCCGTGCCCTGCTCGGAGCCGCAGGATGCGTTCATTGCTGAAAGCCATCCAGGGGCAGTGTCATCGTCGCTGCGGGGGCCAGGCAGGGCTCCGCTCCCCCTTTCCTGTGCCTGCAGAGGGCAGCTGCCACCGCAGCCGCCGCCGTCGCTGCTGGATTTGAACCAGCACAGCTCCAGAGCTCCATCCCCACGGGATGCTGGGTCAGCTGAAGGCGATGCGGTGCAGCCCTTCCTTCGCTGCTGGTCTGGGGGACACAAACATCTCTCCACAGCAGCTGCCTGATGTCACGAGCGCTTGGAAGGGACTCAGTCTGGCAGGGACCCCGTGGGACTGTGCCTTTGCTGGAAGATCCTGTGCAGACACAACTTGCCCTTCCCTCTTGCCCCTCGTTGCCTGGGGACAGGACAGTTCCCACGGGGAGCAGCCTGGATTGCCTGGAGCATGGCCACGGCTCTCGGGGCTCCCCACCGCTCCCCAGGGACACGTGTGGAGGGCTGCCCTGTCAGTGTTGACCCTCGGCTGCTGTGGTAGAGCATCGCTGGGCAGCCTCCTGCTGTAAAATCTTAGCAGCTGTGTTCAGCTCGGCATGTCCGGGGCCCTCAGCCCCTGGGAGAGCGCCAGGGCCTGGGGAGCGTGTCAGACACACGAGGGGCCGTGTGCTGGCAGTGCCCCCGGGGTGCCAGGCCGTGGGGGGGGAGATGTCGCTGACCCCGGCGGCGGTGGGAGCGTGGGATGAATGAAGGGGCTGTGCAGCGGCGTGTGGCCAGCGCGCATCTGCTGCCCACAGTGCCTCCTTTGTGCCTGCTGCTGCTGCGCTCCCTGCCCTGCTCCCGGCTTGCTGCCTGGGCTAGCAGCAGCTTGTTATGGGGATCAAAGATCCTTATGGCAAATCAGGGGTGGCTGGAGTATTTATTGCCCATGAACTTTACCTACTTGCCTCTCTGGATGCCCATAACCTTTCGTGCAATCCATCTGTGGGTGATGTGAACCACACTCTGGAGGCTCAAGTCTTTGTCTTGTCACTGTCCCTGTCAGCCCAGGTCCCCGGCCAGGCTCCCAGGCGGATGTGTAGGATTTACCTCCAGGAGCTGTTCTTGGCACCTCCACTGGGTGCTGGCACAGGGCTTGCTGACGGTGCACGTGGTGGGGGTTCCCAGCACAGTGGCACCGTGCCCACAACTGATCGATGGCTGCAGCTTAAGGAACTATTTTTATATCTCAGTGGTATTTTTTCCCCTGTCCTGGCTCTTGCCCTTGGTGCTGTGACTACGCGTGTCTGCAGGGACCTCGCCTGGCTCTGTGGTGGCAGCCTGATGGACGTGGTGTCTCCCTGTGAGGACAGCACAGAGCTGCAGGATCAGCCGTGAGCTCAGCGCGACCACCAACACATCAGCAAGGCCAGCAATTTCAAGGTTTGATCTGGTTCCTATAGAAACTGGAGGTTGCTCCTGCCTGGCACGGGTGCCGGCAGCCAGCGGTGCACCCTGGGGAGCGGGGCAGTGGGGATGGGCGGGAGCAGGGTGTGGCACAGCACCCCGGTGCTGCTGCTGTCCTTCCACATGCCTTGCAGACCCCTCTGCTTCCTCGCTCTGCTCCTGCCTCTCGTCGGGGCTGTGCTGAGCCCCACTCTGCTCCTGCCCTCCTTGCTAGAAGTCACCACCAGAGAAGCCTGAAATCCTAAAAAAGTGTTCTGGGGAGCAATAGCTATGGGGTGGGGGGGTCTCATCAGCTCCTGACCCTAAGGGTCTTGGGCTTCTCCTTCACTGCCTGGCAATACAGGCTGTCCTGCTGTGGGTGGGTGGAAGAGGTGCTACTTGGCAGGCTCATGTCTCCAATGGAGGTTTTGGTCTCACAGGTGCCAGAGCAGCTCCTCTCTTTCCTGGCAGTAATGGGCAGCAGGCTGCAGACCCGGTGCAGAATACCTCATCCCCGGAGCGGGGGCCAAGTGTCAGCCGTGGCACAGATCCAGAGCAGCTCGGGGGAGACCTGTGCTGCTGCCCTCCTCTGCTGGGGCCCAGATGCAGCTTGGTGCTGCCCAGGTACCTGCCTGGGGCTGGCGCTGGCTTGGGGTCACAGGGGTGCCCCAAAGAACCCCTGCTGAGGATGAACCTCTTGTAGCACATGGCAGCCAGGCAGTTCTGCTGAGCCGGAGCCCATTCCCGGCCAAGCCGGCAGCAGGAGGCTGCTTCCTGCTGCCCTCGCGCTGCTGCCGGGTTTGTTCATCCTGGCACTGGCTCGACAGAGCTCCTGGCCAGGGCCAAGTGCCGGTGAGGGGCGCTGCAGCCTGGGTCCCGTGGCCTCCTTTCCACTGCTGCCTGAGGATGGCAGGGATATTTTAGGAGAATGTGACAACACCATACTCCTGTGTTCTCACCCCCTTCCTACCTGCCTACTGAGAGACCACAGCTCCTTTGGTGAGATCCTGGCTCCTGTGGGACCTTCCTGGACAGGTGCAATGGGAACGGCGTGTGCTCACTCCATGATGAGGAGCTGAAGAGCTGCCTCCACCAGCACAGGACGCCTGCACTGGGTGCATAAGGCTTGTGCCCCAGTGCTGCCCCTCTGCCCTGGCTGGCTGTGGCTGTGAGAGCCTGAGTCACTGCAGCCTTGTGCCCACTGAGAGGAAAGGGCTGAATCCCGCCCCACCAGAGTGTGGCTCCTTGGTGAGCCCGGGGGCTGAGGGTCCCCTGTAGTGGGGCTGTGGAGGCCGCCTGGGCACTGAGGAGGTGCTCACTGGGCTGTGCTCACTGGGCTTTGCACAGGCAGGGGCCTCTGTTTTCAGGGCTCAGCTGGGTTTGGTCTATGGGTCCCCATGGCACCACCTGCCCCTCAGCAGGTGGGAGCCACCACGCTCAGGCGTGGGAGATGCAGGACTTGCTGCTGGCTGGGGTGTTGTCAAGGCTGGGGGCGAGAGTATGTCCCACAGCATGTGTCTGCAAGAAGTGGGCAGGGTATGGGGCAGAGCTAGTGCCCTCAGCCCCTTCTGTCTACTGGCAGCCCCCTGAATCTCATCTATAGTCCCACACGCTGCGGGGGTAGGATGGGGTGCAGCGGGGATGCCGCTGAACCCCAGCTTTGGGGATGCAGAGAGGGATGGTACCGGGTGGCACCCCCTCGGCAGGGAGCGGGGCGGGCAGCGCTGCACCTGTGGGATCCGCCAGCCCCCGCTCCCCGCCTGTCCCTGTCCCTGTCACCGGAGGCAGTGACCTGGCGGGCGCGGGGGGCTGGCTGGGGGCCGGGCTCTCCCCGCTCCCTCCTAGCAGCCGAGGAGTTAAAAACTCAGCCTGGGTGATGAATATGTAAGAGCAGAGCCCAGGCTGGAGCCGAGCATCTCCCGGGCTGCGGGCGCTGCCAGCGCTGCCGCCCGCCCCAGCCCAGCCCCAGCCCCGCCGGGCGCACTGCGGAGGGACGGGACGGGGCAGTGCGGGGGTTCCCCCTCTGCCCCCCGCCGCCATGGGCCCCACCGGGCTCGGCATAACTTTCCTGACTCTACCCCTCGTCGTGCGAGCGGCCGCGGGAGGTGAGCTGCGCCCCGGGGCAGCGGGACGGGGGTCCCGCGGCGGGAGAGAACGGGAGCGTGGGGCTGGGGGCCCGTAGGGGCACCGCTTATTCCATTCCCTTCCCACGTGCTGTGGGATGATGCGGGCTGGGGAGGTTGGAGGAAGGGACTAGGGGACCTGGTCTGGCCCAGGACCCCTCTTCTGCGCTCCCACTGCCCCCCTCCCCGCTGCTGAATGTCCCTGGGCACCGCTGGGCTTGGGAGGTCTCAGCCCACCCGGGGCTCTGTGCTGGCCAGGCCAGAGTCCCCTTGGGGCACTGGGGCTTGGGCTCAGCCCATCCGCCCCACAGACCTGCACTGTGGATGAAAGCTGCGAGCGAACGGGGGCTGCCAGTCCCGGGCCGAGGCGCTGGGTGCTCACCTGCATCTGGGCCAGGCTGGGGCTGGCCAGTGCTACCTTGGCTCCTGCCAGAGGATGCTCGAGGACTGGTGCATGCAGGTCTGAGGATTTTCCAGGAGTTCAGCTTTCCCCTGGACCCCGAGATCCCTGCCCTGGGGATGGACTGTCTGAGTCCTGCACTGTCCTGCTCCCAGTTCTCCTCTGAGGCTGGTGTCTCTTGTATCACTGTAGTGAGAATTCGAATGCGGTGCCACAGGCTGGGGCCATGAGCAGCACAGGTGGAGGCAGGCAGGGCTGCCTTTGTCCTGCTGGTCTGAGTGGCAGTGGCTGGCACAAGAGCATGGCTCGGCTCCCCTGCAGCTGGCCTGCTGGCATGGCCCCTCAGCCATCAGCGGGGACTGTTTGTGTAGGCTGGCCCTGGACAGCACCAGGTTGCTCCTGGTTGCAAGGAGCAGGATGGGGAGCTGAGGAGGGAAGGGGTGCAGTCCCCAGCTCCCATTGCAGAGCTGATGGTCCTGGGCAGATGTGCAGGCAGCAGAGCAGGAACAGGGCTCCAGCTTTCTTGGCATCCCCTTGGTATCCCTGTGTCTGCTGTGCCAGCACTTGTCACCACACAGGTGGTGCCCCCAGCCCTCCTGAGAGCGGGCAGCCAGTGGGAGTTCAGCAGCTCTGGCTGAGGTGGTCCTGACTGATGGGACAAGCCGTCACCCCCACAGTGTGGGCACAGGCCTGCCCACTGCCTGCCTGCTGCAGCCACCAGCAACTGCCTGCTGCTGCCAGCCCACCTGCGGGAGCCATGGGGAGCACCAGGAAGGGCTGTCACAGCCCCCTCGGCTCCCACTCATCCACGGCTGCAGCAGGGCTGCAAGGCATCTGCTGTTGGGTGAGGGGCTGCCTTGCTAGGATGGGTAGGGAGGGATGGCTCCACAGTAGCTGGGGAAGGAGCACAGTGAGCAGCAAGGCTTGGCTGCCTTGGAGCAGTGATTCTGAGGGAGGTTTCCCTATGGAGCAGCTGGGGGAGGCAGGGAGGGTGCGAAAACACCAGCCAAAAATAACTGGGATGAACACAAGTGTCGGCGGGACCCCAGGCTGCAATGAGGGATGTCCTTACTTCTGGGGGGCTGGGCACAGCCCTGTGTAGGTTTGGGAAGGGGTGCCTGTCTCCATCACCTGCCCTGAGCTCTCCTTTCTCCTGCAGGGCAGTGGTGTTACGACTCGCAGGACCCCCAATGTGGTAAGTGGTGCCAGGTGTGGGAGGGGGGCTGTCGGGGCTGTGTGGAGCTTGGACCCCACAGTGCCTGGCCAAGGGCACCCTGGGCAGCATCAGAAAGGTCGCAGTGGGAAGCATGGCATGGAAAAGGGCAAATGCCCCCATGTCGCTCTAAAGTGGGAATGGTTAGAGGAGCTTCGCTCTGGAGTATGCTGGTGTAGAGACTTGACAAACACTCAAGCCCCTCAGAGTGACTTGGCCCCACCCCTCATCCCAACTACATCTGGGTGCTCCTGTGGCAGCACCAGCTTTCCCCCTTTCACCTGAAACAAATTAAATCCTGGATTTAAAATATGCCATTGGAAACCCCAGTGCAGCACAGGCAGCAAGGGTCTTGGAAGGCTCAGGGGCCCGACTGGAGAAGGGACAGCTCCCTTTGGGGAGGCAGCAGGCCTGCCTGTCTGGCTGGGGAGAGAAGTATGCCTGGGGGCACTTTGTCTCAAAACATGCAAATAGCTTGTAAGAGGTTAATTAAAGATCATCAAGCATTTAATCAGCTGTTACAGCCCAACTGTTTTATAGCTCTTGGGTTTACACGCCCCGTGGCTCATGAGTATGGATTGCTGAGCTCCGCTCATCCCTGTTGGACCAAGGATTGGTCTTTCCCAGTTTAATGTTGTCAGGGTGGCGAGGGCAGGTTTTGGCAGGGGAGAGGGGCCGGTGGGAAGCGGCTCGGGCAGCGTGGAACCGGCTGTGTGCCCTCAGCCAGCTGTGTGCCCTGTGGAATGGTCCCTTAATGAACACACCAGGTAATTTGTGGGGCCACTCAGTAACACCATGCCAAAAAGCTAGTGGGACACCGGCACAACCAGGCTGTGGCTCCCAGGGCTTCCAGGCAAAAAGTTGCCTAGAGTAACGAGAGGAGAACATAAAGGGACAGGGCTGAGCACAGGAGGGCAGGAGGTGGATTCAGTCTACAAGTGTCTGTGGTTTTGTCTGCTGAAGAGGAAGGTAAATGTTAGAGCTGAACCATGGGGCACTACTGGGGGAACAGTTCCCCAAACCCTGGCTGTAGCCAAAGGCTGCCCAGCCGTAATGTGTGCCAGAGCAGAGCCAGCAGTGTCTGCAGAGGGATGCACTGAGTTCCCTCAGGACTGAAGGTGCCCTGAGTAGACGGGGCTGGTGACACTGAGGGACCTCCTGTTACCTGACTGGGACTGAGCCCAGGTACCAGCAGTGCCCAGTGCCATCTGCAGCCTGGGCTGCACCAGGTGAAGGAGTGAGGTGTCACGGCAGCCATACTGGAGCAGTGACCAGGAGGGTAGTTGACTACATCCCCCAGTTGTGGGTGGAACGAGTGTTGCAAGAGCTGATGCCAGGCTGATGGGGACAAGCTACAAATATGAAGTGTGTGGTCTGGCCATGGTGGCAGTTGTGGGGATGTCAGCTCACAGCCCCCCAGGCAGCACTGTGGGTTTGCAGTGGGTCCAGCTGGCTGCCAGTGCTGCCATGTCCTCACACAGCTCCTGCCATCGTGACCCCTCACCCCAGGAGCTGCTGATGGACATCGTGTGGTCACTCAGGACCCTGTGTAGGATTCACCCCAGGATGAGTTGTGTGGCCAGGATGCACTGTCACCTGTCACAGCTGGACAGAACCAGCATGGGTAGGCTAAGATGTGCTGAAACCCAGGGATGGGCAGAAGAAGTTTGGGAGAAAAGCTTGCCCTTCACCAGCATCAGTGGAGGGAGGGACACTGCTGCTCAGCTAAATATAACCCCCGGCCCCTCGAGGAAATCCTGCTGAATTATGGATGAGGCTGCAATAAGCCCCTGCTCATCAATAGGGAGGAAGCTCTGCTGGGCAGGAGGGCAGCTCCCACGGGATGCAAGCGAGAATGACTGGGCTGGCAGGGACAGCAGGGCTGGCTGGGGACACAGCCACCCGTGGCCTTGTGTCCCTCCCGGGGGTGGTAGTGGCTCTGTGGCTGCCCGTGGTGCCCCTGCTCCTCCCCTGCAGGGCCCAGCCACTGGAAGGAGCTGAAAGCCTCATGTGGTGGCAACAAGCAGTCCCCTGTGAACATCGACAGGCATCGGCTGCAGCGGGACAGTGGCCTCGGGGACATCCTCTTTGAGGGCTACGACCAGGCTCCCCCCGGCAAGTGGAAGCTGACAAACAATGGGCACACAGGTGCGTGCTGAAGCCGGGCACCTTTCCCTGTCCTGGCTCCCTGGTCACCATCCCATCCTGGGCTTGGCTCTGCTGCCACTCCTGGGTGCTCCTGCCCTCCTCTTGCAGCTCTTGCCCCGTGGGTTTGTGTTAGTGCTGGAGGAAGAGCCCAGGTGTGCCAGGTGTCCCCTGTCCTAAACCACCTTTTCACCCTGTCCTGCTGCCCTTGCAGTGATGCTGAGCCTGGCGAGCGAGTCGGCCTCTGAGCACATCACCATCAGTGGTGGGGGCCTCCCCGGCAGGTACCGTGCGCTCCAGCTCCATTTCCACTGGGGCAGTCCAGCTGGGAATGGCTCTGAGCACACCCTTGATGGGCACCAGCTCCCTATGGAGGTAGGTGAGAAAAAGCCCCCATCACACTCTGGGTAGCCCCTATCCATGGTGTTCTGGGAAGGGGTGGTGCCGGGGCATCCCAAGGCTGCCATGCAGCAGGTGATGGGACTCTGTGACGCTGCACCGATGGGTTCAGCTGTGCTCCTGCAGAGGCACCTGGGAGGTGAAAAAGCAGTTGACATGAGACTCAAGGTGTTTCTTTACCATGTGTGGGCTGAGCTGCCTCATCCAAGGCACTCAGCAGTGTTTGGGGGGCTCTGTGCCCTGCCAGGACCACACACTGAGTTAGTGAATGCAAGCGAGAGCATGTGGGAGTGTGCTGTGCCAAGCACATCGGGATCCTTCTGGGTGAAAGAGGCTCTGCACCTCTAAAATATTCATTATCTGCCAGAGGAAAGCAGAATTTGTTTTGTGGCTGGTGAGCACCCTGGGACTGCTGGCCCCATTTTGCACACCCTTCAAAGGATGATCACTTCATTGGGGTGCTTTGATCCTCCAAGCCGCCATCCCACACATGTGCCAGTGGGACCAGGAGGGCTTTTCAGGGAGTAGTTGACTCAGTGTCTGGTCACCCCAGGCTGGCCAGAAGGATCGATAGGAGAGGGCCCTGCTGCCAGGATGTTGGCCAGGGGCAGTTGTCCACGATTGGCTCCTCTGTGCTTTCCTCAGCTGCACATTGTCCACATGAATGTCAAGTACCGGACACTGGCAGAGGCCAAGGGGCATCCCAACGGGCTGGCTGTCCTCGGCTTCTTCTACCAGGTGGGTCTGCGGGGGCTCATGCTGCCGGCAAGAGGGACCCCCCCAGAAACAGGGTGTTGATGGTGCAGCCAGGGGAGCATTGTACAGGTGCCCTGTGGGAGCAAGAAGGGGCAGGAAGGCTGGGTCAAGGCTAGGAGGTGCTGGGGAACCTCAATGGTGAAAGGTGCCAGGGCCCCCCACCGACTTTGTGCAAGAAGATGTGGGCTGGGAATCCTTTCCTGCTGCTCTGCAACAATGTGGGGTGGAGGTGGAGCAGGCTCTGCCTGCAGGTGCTCAGCAGGACAGGATGATGCATCTCTGCCCTGCCCGCCTTAGATGCTTCTTCTCCCCATCTGCAGGTCTCTGAAACCCCTAACACCAACTACAACACCATCGTGGTGGGGCTGAGAAACGTCTCCCATGCTGGTGAGTCACCTCCTCATCGGGGCAGGGCAGAAAAGAGAGACCCTGGTGTGGGAGGGCAGAAAGGAGAGACCCTGGTGTGGGAGGGCAGGGTTGCAGCCCAGAAAGCTGTGGGGGGGACCTGGCTGAAGGGAAACTGATGGAGGTGGCCCCACTGTCCCCACCACATCCCTGGCACAGGACAGGCTGAGTGCCCATGTCTTGCCCCACAGGGGACTCCGTGGATTTGGCCTCCACCTTCCGCCTGAGCACACTGCTGCCGCGGGCCGGCCGGCTCTCCGGGTACTACCGTTACCAGGGCTCCCTCACCACGCCCGACTGCAGCGAGGTCGTCGTCTGGACTGTCTTCGAGGAGCCAGTGGAGATTGGCCGGGAGCAGGTACTGGTGTGCACAGCCCCACGCTCCAGCACCCGAAAGGCTGGGCCCCCTGGGTGGGCCCCTCTCCTTGCCCTTCCTGACCCTTGAGCAAGAGCACAGACAAAGTCACCTCTATAATAATGCTCCTGGCAACTCGGAAATTAATTGCTTTTATGAGGGTTAAGTAATGGAGACGTGGCCACCTGCCAGTGGGAAGAAATCCCATTCATAGTGCTCTCCTGCCCAGCCTTGGTATTCAGAAAGAGGAATGGGAGTGAATCCACTGAAGCTCAGTAGAGGCTCCGAGGAGGTGGGTGAATAGATGGATGGATGGAGGGATGGACGGATGGATGGACGGATGGACGGATGGATGGATGAATGGATGAAGTTCTCCTCTGCTGCCCAAGAATCTTAATAGGTGTCTGGCCTTGAGAGAGTCATGGGCCAGCCACTATTTAAGTGTTTGGTGCTGGCACCAAAACACAATTAGACCCTTTAAAACTCAAGACCTGATCCTTGTAAGGACCTTCAAGTCTGGCTTTAGGAGAGCAGTGGGGGGTGATGGGAGGACGCCCACAGGTGCAGGGACATGCCATGGGTCCTGTGCCATCAGCAGCAGGGCAGTATGAGGGGCAGGCTGACAGTGGGCAGGGGTTTGGGGTGCCTGGTGAAGCAGCTGCCCACCCTGCCTCTCCCCTTATGCAGCTGCGGGCGTTTGTCAGCACCCTCCACTTCCCACCCGACGGATCCAGGCTCCTAAAAATGATCAACAACTTCCGCCCACCACAGCCCCTCCACAGCCGGAAGGTCTTTGCCTCCCGGGGGGCCACGGCCAGTGGTGGGTCCCTGCATGGGGGCCACCACGAGCTCCTCTCATCCCTGCTCCTCCTGGCCCTGCTCAGCCTCTTCTCACCAGCCCCATAGGGTCTGGTCCAGCCTGTCACTGAGCATCACCCTGCTGCAGTGGAAATGAGGAGGTGATGTATCTGGTTCATGGAAAATGAGAAAAAAACAACAAAAAGCCTGTCGAGACCTTGGCTGGGTGAAGATTTTGCGAATCTGGATCTCTGCAGAGGTGGATCTCTGCAAACCTGGAGCCACCCTGTAGCCAGGTGGTGGGAGCTGCTGGGAGGGCAACACTGTAGGGGCTGGAATAAAGCCAAGGTCCTCGCCAGTCGCTGCATCTTTGGCTCTGTTTGGTGTTGCTGGGGCAGGTGCTTGGCACGGGGCTGTGGGGTCAGTGGGGAGGGAGCTGGGGGACTGTGCCCGGGTGGCACTCAGGGATACCATCCCCTGCATGGTGTTGCAGGCAGGGCATGAGACCCCCCCCTCCCTCCTGGGCAATAAATCCCCAGGGCCAAATCCTGGCCCTGGCCCCGGCTCAGGGTCCGTGCAGTCCCTGTGCTGCAGACACCGCCCTGTCACTATCCCCAGGACTGGGGCTGGCTGCTGGAGGGATGGGGTTGTCACTGGGAACACAGCACCTGCAGTGCCCTTGTGCAGGGCCCAGGGATCTTTGCACGGAGCTCATTTTGTGCTGGCAGGAATAGCTGCAGTTGCTGGCACTGCTGGGGCAGAGCTGGGTGAGTGGGGTGGTTCATAATTAATGTGCTGGAGCTCCAGGCATGTTCCCATCTCCTCTTGAATTATGGGTGAAGAGCACAGACCGTTATCTGGGAGCAGAGCGTGGCGGGCTGCAGTTTTTCATCCTTTCTGGAGGGAACCACTGCCAGTGCAGGGCTCCAGCTCCAGCTGTGGCACCTGTGGGTGCAGGGGTCCTGAGCATCTCCCTGTGAGGCTTCAGAGGTGAAGCCTGGGCTGGAAGAGGCTCTCCGTGGGTGAAGGGGCCCAATCACAGCCCCCCTGATCCCCACGCCAGGGTACTGGGGCTCCACACCAGCCGTGCCACGGGACACGCAGGACACGTGGGACACACGGGACACACGGGACAAAAAGAACACATGGAACACAAGGAACACACGGGACACAAAGAACACAAGGAACACACGGGACATGCAGGACACGCGGGGGCGCCGCGAGAACGCGCACGGGGAGGAACCTGGAGCGCCGCAGCAGCCGCCAGGGGGCGCTCGGCTCCCGGCCGCGTCCCCGCCACCGTCAGCGGTGTGTCCCTGTGTTCGTGTCCTGTGTCCTGTGTCCGTGTGTCCCTGTGTTCATGTCTTGTGTCCGTGTCCTGTGTCCCGTGTCCTGTGTCCTGTGTCCCTGTGTCCCTGTGTTCATGTCTTGTGTCCGTGTCCCGTGTCCGTGTCCTGTGTCCTGTGTCCCTGTGTCCCTGTGACCGTGTCCCGTGTCCTGTGTCCCTGTGCCCGTGTCCTGTGTCCCTGTGCCCGTGTCCTGTGCCCGTGTCCTGTGTCCCTGTGCCTGTGTCCCTGTGTCCCTGTGCTCGTGTCCGTGTTCCTGTGTCCCTATGCCTGTGTCCCTCTGTCCTGTGTCCTTGTGTCCCTGTGCCCCTTGTCCTTGTGTCCCTGTGCCCATGTCCTTTGTCCCTGTGCCCATGTCCCTGTGTCTCTGTACCCCACGTCCTTGTGTCCTTGTGCTCCGGGTCCTGGTGTCTCTGTGCCCATGTCCTCGTGCCACTGTGCCCCATGTCCTCGTGCCCCTGTCCCCTGCCACTGTCACCTGCATCCTTGTACCCTTTTTCCTTGGGCCCCCGTGTTCTTGTGTCACTGTCCCCTTGTGTCCTTGTGCCTCTGTTCCCTCATGTCCTTGTGCCCATGTCCCCCATGTCCTCATGTCCTCATGTCACTGTCTCCATGTCTCTGTCACCCATGTCTCATGTCACCTCATGCCCCTGTGCTCCACATTCCCCCGCTACTCTCCCTTGTGTCCTTGTACCACTATTCCTTGTGTCTCCATGCCCCTGGCCCCCGCGTCTCCTGTGCCACTGGCCCCTGTGGCTCCATGCCACTGTCCCCCATGTCCTCATGCCACTGTGCCTCTGTCCTCATGCCTCTGTTCTCAGTGTTCCCACACTCCCTGTGCCTTCCCATCCCCTCCACTGTGCCCTCTGTTTCCCCCATGTCCTGTCATGTCCCCCTTTGGCCCTATCCCCCCAGGTTCCCCTGAGTCCTCCATGCAGTCCTTGCCCTCGTGTCTGTCCATGTCCCACTATTCCCCACTGCACGGCCCAGTCCCAGCCCCTTGCACCCACAGGACACAGGGCAGCTACCCCATGAACCTTCCTGGGTCCAGTCTGGGGTGGTCCCAGCCCCAGCTGGTGAAAGAAGGGGCCCAGTTGGGCACAGTGAGCCCCACATGGCTGCAGACCCCCAGTGCCCTCCAGTACCAGGCCAGGGTGTGAAGGGCACCCAG